GTTTCATACTGTTCAAAACATGTCACAAATGCTGTTTTTCGCGTCAATAACCGACGCTCCTTCGAACCTGAAAGAAGTTTGTTAAAAGACAGAAAGTGCGAGGAGACAGTTCAAATAGTTTTTTTTCAAGATAAGTTAGTGAAAATCCGTGCGCTTATGAACCAATTACCAAAAGCGCTAAGAAAGTTTGTGATCTCTCGAAAAAGTTTCAGAAATCTCAACTCATTTAAGTCAACTATTTTAAGTTAAGAGAAATGGGGTTAAAGACAAAATTCCATTGCGCAACTCTTTACCCGAACGACGACTTTGTTTCTTGTAATTCCATTTGTAATAACATTGGCAGGTGATACTTTGTTCCTATCGTCAGAACACAACAAAAACACTTAGCGTTCCAGAAAAGCCTGACAAGGAATTATAAGAGCGAGCACGCATGGATAAATGACCTTTTATACTTAACTTCCAGATTGCAAATCATGTTATAAGAAGGCAAAGTGAAGGAAACAAAAATATAATTTATTTCTTTCAAAAAAGACGTGAATTGATGTGCGAATGACATTTAGCCAACGTGCATAGCGGATGTTTAATATGTAAAATATTGTTATTACGGACATCAAGACCATCGATTTTCTGTAATTGGTATAAGAGGTAATATGATAATTATTTTACTGACAACCACTCACATATCTGTACATTTAGGAAGGTAAAATCTACACCTGCACATTTCAGATCTTTACTAACTCATAAATTAAATATAGCATTTTGCAGCACAAACCTAGATATTTTTCTTAACGTCAATTCAAGTTCTAGAATTCCACATTGAAACCTTGCTAGGCAAGCCGCTCCCGGTTGTCGGCTGGGACTCACGACCATCTTGGGACTGCTGCGGCTTACCTTTCGATGGTATTCAGCGTTATCGTTAGATCAGTTGGAATCTATGCTCATTACTATTCTGAGGAGTTTCATTGCTTCACTCCTATCTTGAAAATCAATGTTGCAAGTACAGTCTTTTTTGGAATCTGGAAAGCATAATTCTTTCTGTCATTTGCTGGAACCCTGCGGCCG